GGGGGAGGCGAGGGAGGGAGGTGGGTTGGCCCCTGGGACGGTGCTCGGCAGGAGGCATCTCAGCCAGGTCCTGAAGGATCACGGAGTTTGTTTACCTGACAGTGAAGAGGGGGAGGAGGGGCCCACTGCAGGTGAAAGCAGCAGCATGAACAGTGGCAGCGATGGGTGTGTGTGTGTGTGTGTGTGTGTGTGTGTGTGTGTGTGTGTCTGTGTGTCTGTGTGTGCACACACCTATCCTGGGAATGAAACGACACGGCTGGAGGAGAGCGCAGAGTGGCAGATGGGCCTGTGAAGGAGATTGGGGCCATGAAAACCACACCTTAAGGGGTTTTTCCTTTACCCTGAAAAGTGGATCTTTTGCCTCCCAAACAGATACTACTTTCTGCCCCCATTCTCACCCCCACTTGCCTAGGTGGTGCCCCCCCTCCCCCATCCTCTTCGCCTCCTACACAAACTCGGCACCTTTCTTGGTGCTGTCGTGCATTTACACAGCCACCGATCTCCTTACCGTGCTCCATTGTGCCCATTGCTTGTGGGTACCTGAAACCCAAAGATGCTGAAAGCGAGCCTCCCCACCATCACTCCTGCGCCTTCCCAGCTTTGGCCAAGAAAAGACGCATACGGCGTTGGTGTTCTGACGTACTTGCCAAGGCTCTGGTTCACACTCAATACTGCGTTTCTCACTAATCCTTTTTTGTTTCGGAAAATACAATTATTTGCATTAAAGTATGTTCCTCATATTAACATGTGATAAATTTGTTATTTTTTCATTTCCCAGTTTTAATTTTGAGTACGGTAAGTATCAATAGCCATAACTCACCTAAACAAAAGTTTTTTAGGTTCCTGTACCTATCATTTTTATACATGTAAAGAAGTCCCGAGGCACCTGGGTGATGCAGTCAGTTAAGCATCGGACTCTTGACCTCAGCTCAAGTCATGATCTCACGGTTCATGGGTTCGAGCCCCACGTAGGGCTCTGCGTTGATGGCACAGAGCCTGCTCAGAATTCTGTCTCTCCTTTTCTCTGCCCCTGCCCTGCTTGTGCTCGCTCCCTCTCTCTCTCTCAAAATAAAAAACTTAAAAGAAAGTCCTCAGACCAGAAAGTTTGAGAAGTGCTATACAGCAGTGTAAATGAGCAAAACCTGCTCTTCACAACGTTTATAAATTTCGCAGACACAAAGCAAAAGAAGCCAGACACAGAAGTCCCAGAACAGGAAAAGCTAATTGATGGTGTTAGAAATCAGGATGTGGGCACCTGGGTGGCTCAGTCAATTGAGCATCCAACTCCTGATTTCCGCTCAGGTCGCCTTCCCAGGGTTGTGGGATCGAGCCCCACATTGGGCTCCATGTTGGGCGTGGAGCCTGCTTAAGATTCTCTCTCTGTGCCCCTCCCCTGCTCTCTATCTCTTTCTGTCAAAAAAAAAAAAAAACAGATGGTCATTACTCTGGAGAAAGGAGGAGGGCAGTGGTTTGGGGGAATCGTGAGGAGTACGAGAATGCTGCCAGTGTGCGTTCCTTGGCCTGAGTGCTAGTAACGTGTGTGTTTGACTGATGATAATTCATTGGCATTTTATACACCTTCCTGTACGTGTGTTTTACTTTGGGTTTTTGAGGGGTTTTTTAAAACAGATTTTTTTATGTTTATGTATTTATTTTGAGAGAGAGAGAGACAGTGTGAGAAGGGGAAGGGCCGAGAGAGAGAATCCCAAGCTGACTCTGAGCCATCAGCACAGAGCCCAATGTGGGGCTCGAGCCCACAAACTGTGAGACCATGACCTGAGCGGAGATCAAGAATCAGAAGCTTGACTGACTGAGCCAACCAGGTGCCCCTGTTTGTTTTTTTTGTTTGGTTGAGAAACCATACCCCCAAACCCCAATCTTAGCTCCATCTTTTTCTAGTCGGCAGCTGGAAGAGTTATTTGGCCTCTGTTCATTTACTGTACTCTGTTCCCTGTACCACAAACATTTCCGGAGGACCTACTCGGGCCAGGCACTCTGTTACACACCAGGAAGAGTAGCCACACATAGCACACAGCCCCAGCTTTGTCTAGTGTCCTGCAAGAGAGACCAGCATTAACAACGTCATCACGGGAGGGTGAAGTCTTGCAAAAGAGAGGTACAGGGCGCTAGCGCGGGTGTTACAGGAGCCTTAACCTTGGCCTGTGAGGCGATGAGGAGGAGACACTTAGCAGAGCTGTGATGAATGATTGGGAGCAGGCCACAGAAGGAATGGAAAGGACCGCCATTTGACAGCTCCACTGGGCTAATGGGTGTCTTCCACTTACCACGGGCAAGCCGGACTCCCGATCTCTCCCCTCCCCACTCCATGCCACCTGGCCAGCTGGCTCCTCCTGCCGTCTTCACCAGACCACAGATGGCAGCTTCTTCCTTCTGATTCCTCAGGCCCCAAACTTTGGAATCATCCTGAATGTGTCTTCCTGTCACTCTGAGTAACCGGTGCCAGCTTCACCCGAAGCTAAGGTAGTTTTAGCTTCAGGGTCTCTCATATTCCAAGGCCCTGGAAAAACCATTAGGAGTACAGTCACGCCAACTTTCCGTCCGTTGCATTAGCCCTTGTGTTGAGTGGTCGTGGAGTGACCACGGACATTTTGGAGATCTTGCTTACATAAACTCGAGTTGGGGGTACCGGTAGCTGAGCTTTGACGAGACACATTTATGTGCCTTGACCTCACTTCCTGGTGTCGTGACATAACAGTGGAGGTCCAGAAGTCATATTGTGATAGGAATCTGTCCTGTGGTACTTGGCCCTGAAGTATAGAGGGAGCCAAGGTGAACATGACCAGAAGCTACTCTGTGGAAAATTCTTCCCAAGTATAGAATTGTACCCGGAGGATTGGGTTCTTATTGCTGCCTAAATAAAAAAGAACTTTCTCACTTGGTAAAAATACACCGGATAATGCGGCATCCACAGGTGTTAAGTGCCGCTTACTCTTTTTTTCTTTTTTGATGGAAACCCCATTAAGTAGAATTGGCCGGAAGCCCTATGTTTGTGGGGCACAAACCTGTCGCTGTACCACAAGCACTGAGTGTGTGTGTGTGTGTGTGTGTGTGTGAAGTTACACGTTTGTTTGCTGGACGCCAGCATACTGGATCGTGGCCTAAAATTGCTGATCCTTCTTGTCCTCACAAAGTCGGCCTGGTCATTGTGGGATTTTTTCCTCCATGTAAATGCGCATGCGCTCTCTTCCTAACAATAGTGGCCCCTTTTCCTTTGGGATCTATTCCAAGACCCCCCGGGGGCTGCCTGAAGCCATAGATAGTACTGACCCTTATATGTCCTATGTTTTTCCTACACATGCCTGCCTATCGCAAAGTTTAATTTACAAATTAGGCCCAGTGAAAGGTGAACAACCATAGCTAATACTAAAGTAGAACAATTCTCACAATGTACTGTAATAAAATTTATGTGAATATGTTCTCTCTCTCCCTCTCAAAATATCTTATTGTACTGCACTCCCCCTGCTTGTGATGATGTGAGATGATAAAATGCCTACGTGACGAGATGAAGGGAGGGGAATGATGTAGGCTTTGTGACCTAGCGAGAGGCCACTACCGACCTTCTGACGCTGCGTCAGATAGGGGAACATCCGCTTCTGGACCTCAGCTGACCGCGGGTAGCTGAAACTGTGGAAAGTGAAACCGTGGATGAGGTGAAGGGGCTGCTATAATTTTATATCAAAAAAAAAAAAAAAAAAGAAAGCCTGGGGCGCCTGGGTGGCTCAGTCGGTTAAGCATCCAACTTCGGCTCAGGTCATGATCTCACAGTTTGTGGGTTCCGGCCCCAGGTCGGGCTCTGTGCTGACAGCCAGCTCAGAGCCTGCTGCCTGTCTTCGGATTTTGTGTCTCCCTCTCTCCCTGTCCCTCCCCGTTCATGCTCTCTCTCTCTCCGCCTCTCAAAAATAAATAAAACATTAAAACTTTTTTTTTTAATTTTTAATGTTTTACTTATTTTTGAGAGACGGAGAGAGAGAGACAGCGTGAGCAGGGTAGGGTCAGAGAGAGAGGGAGACACAGAATCTGAAGCAGGCTCCAGGCTCTGAGCTAGCCGTCAGCACAGAGCTTGACGCGGGGCTCGAACCCACGAACCGTGAGATCATGACCTGAGCTGAAGTCAGACACTCAACTGACTGAGCCACACAGGCGCCCCAAAACTTTTTTTAAAGAGGGCCAGAAACCAACTCCCAAGGAGGCCAGGAGTTCCCACCTTCCACGACAAATGAAGGTGACTCCTCCCTAACAAGCTCTAGAGGCCGAAAGCCACCGGGCCTTTCAGACACCAGGCAGGCCCGACGCAACTGTCTTGACAGGTAGTAAGAGAGGAAGAGCCACCAACCGGAAGTGGAAGTGAGTCCCGGGTGGGGGTGAGGAGAGTCCACCGCACGCCTGCGCAATCAGCAGGGTTGCTTTACGCATGCGTGATTGGGCGGTGACGGGGTGACGCTCGGAGCGTGGGCCGCGACTCTCACGGATCCGGTTCCGCCCTCCCTCTGGTTGCCGACCTTCCGGGACTAGCGCCCGAGATCCCTTTCCCAGAGTGCTCCGCGCTGCACTCCGCTCCGTGAAGAAGCGGCTCCCGGGGACTGGGGGCACTTTGTGTTGGCTGGAGCTGGAGTAACAAGATGGCGGCGTCGGCGGAGTAACAGGGATCTCTCCGGGCGGGAGCCGGTGGCAGTGGTGGCAGCGGTATCGCCCCTTTTCCAGCCCGCGACGTCGCCGTGAAAGCGAGGCAGCGGCGGCCGCCCAGAAACAAGTGGCCCAGCCTGGTAACCGCGAGAAACCCCTCTAAGCTGCGGCCTGGCAAAAGAAGCCTGACTGAGCGGCGGCGATCGGGTTCCCTTTGTCCGATCCTGGGCCCTGTAACGCCTTGAATGAGCCAGCGCTTTCCGTTTCCTGCCGCCCTCCTCCGCAGCCTTGCTCCGTGGACCAGCCCCAGCGGCCTCTGTCTTCTCAGAGGTGTCGCGGCTTGGCCCCAGCCTCCATCTTTGTCTCTCAGGATGGAGAGCAGCAACGGCTCCAAGGCCGAGTTCATCGTCGGAGGGAAATACAAACTGGTACGGAAGATCGGGTCTGGCTCCTTCGGGGACGTTTATCTGGCGATCAACATTACCAACGGCGAGGAAGTGGCAGTGAAGCTAGAATCTCAGAAGGCCAGGCATCCCCAGTTGCTGTACGAGAACAAACTCTATAAGATTCTTAAAGGTGGGGTTGGCATCCCCCAGATACGGTGGTATGGTCAGGAAAAAGACTACAATGTGCTAGTCATGGACCTTCTGGGACCCAGCCTCGAAGACCTCTTCAATTTCTGTTCAAGAAGGTTCACAATGAAAACTGTACTTATGTTAGCTGACCAGATGATCAGTAGAATTGAATATGTGCATACAAAGAGTTTTATACACAGAGACATTAAACCGGATAACTTCCTAATGGGTATCGGGCGTCACTGTAACAAGTTATTCCTTGTTGATTTTGGTTTGGCCAAAAGGTACAGAGACAACAGGACAAGGCAACACATGCCATACAGAGAAGATAAAAATCTCACTGGCACTGCCCGATACGCTAGCGTCAATGCACATCTTGGTATCGAACAGAGTCGCCGAGATGACATGGAATCATTAGGATATGTTTTGATGTATTTTAATAGAACCAGCCTGCCCTGGCAAGGACTAAAGGCTGCGACAAAAAAGCAAAAATATGAAAAGATAAGTGAAAAGAAGATGTCCACTCCTGTTGAAGTTTTATGTAAGGGGTTTCCTGCAGAATTTGCCATGTACTTAAACTATTGTCGTGGGCTGCGCTTTGAGGAAGCCCCGGATTACGTGTATCTGAGGCAGCTATTCCGCGTTCTTTTCAGGACTCTGAACCACCAGTACGACAGCACGTTTGATTGGACAGCGTTAAAGCAGAAAGCAGCACAGCAGGCAGCCTCTTCAAGTGGGCAGGGTCAGCAGGCCCAAACCCCCACAGGTTTCGAAGCATGAATCAAGGATCGGAAGAAGCAGAGCAGACGATCGGAGCAGCATTTGTTTCTCCCCAAATCTAGGAATTTTAGTTCATACGTACACTAGACAGTGGTTGTGAACAACCATTTACTTGGTGTAAAGAACTTAATTTCAGTATAAACTGGCTCTGGGCAGCATTGGTGATGCCGTGTCCCGAGTTGTAGCCGCTGTAATTGTGAATATTAACTGAGAGAGTGAAACATGGTGTTCAGTTTTCTATTGCATTTTTTCAAGTGGAAAAGTTCACTAAATGGTTGACACACACAAATTGGTGGAGAAATTGTGCATATGCCAATTTTTTGTCAAAATCTTTTATTTTGAACTATCCTGCTTTGAGATCTCATTTCAGAACGGCATGAACAGTCTTCACAGTTGTGATGGTTGTAAATGCTCACAATTGTGCGTTCTTAGGGTTTATCCACCCCTGGGGTTTGCAAGTTGTTCACTTAAAGCATTCTTAAAATGGTTGGCTTCTTGTTTGCAAGCCGGCTTGATATGGTAGCTACCAAAGATTCCAGTGTTTGAGCGTCCGGAAGACTCTGCCTGCTTACCTGTGCTAGAAATAACAGCATCTAAAGTGAAGACTTAAAAACTTAGTGACTACTAGATTATCCTAAGGACTCTGCATTAACTCTGTAATGTTCTTGGTATTAAAAAAAAAAGCATATTTGTCACAGAAATTTAGTTAACATCTTACAATTGAACATGTATGTATGTTGCTTAGATAAATGTAATCACTGTAAACATCTATATGATCTGGGATTTTGTTTTTATTTTGAAATGGGAGCTTTTTTGTTTACAAGTTCATTAAAAACTAAAAACCGTTTCTGTAAGGAAATGAGATTTTTTTTAAAACAACAAAAAAATGCCTTGCTGACTCACCATGAAATCAAAATCTCCCCAATTTTTTAAAATAGACTACTTCAAGCCATTTGTTACATATGGTTCCTTTGCGAATCATCTTAGATTTAGTGTTACAACTTTTCCTCCGATTTTTTTATTTAAAAAAAAGTTGTTTTTTTTTTTTTTTTGGCCTGAAGGGGAAAGGCATTCTTTTATTTTTCCTTTTACAATGACTTGCCCGTACAATGCCTAGCGCTGCTGTGGCCAGGAGTTGGTGTTCTGACTCCTGCAGGGTCTCATACTTAGCAGCGCTGGACCAATTGTGCAGAAAGATGAAAGCGTTAAAGGGTTTAACTACCATTCTGTAGCTTTTCTTTAAGTTCCTGGTTGATTTGGCTTTGAGCAGATTGATTCTTAACCTTGGAGAGTATCCCTCCAGGTGAGGTTCCCGTGATCCCTGGTCCTCCCCACGCCCCATTCTTTTCCCTACATTCTCTGTGCGCTTCCTCTTAATCTTAAAGACGCTCTTCTCTTCTTTCCGACCCAATAGAAAGAAAAATTTATTGACCGTAATTCTTTAAATAGTGTAATTTATTCATTTATAGCATGTCAGGATTAGTTAAAAGAACCTTTGTCTGTAAATGCTGCCAGGAGCCTGTTGTAAATGTAGGTATTTTGTAAAATAACCTTGAAACTGTAAATTGACAGGTTTGTTCCGATTGTGTCAGGTTTGTTTTCTTTCCTTTCTCTTTTTTTTTTAATCTACTTTAGCAATAATTAATTCCACGCTCACCACATTCTGCTATTAAAGAATATATTAGCACCCTCCCACTGCAGACATCTTAATGAGTGCGAACTTTTGGGGTAGGCAGCTTACTTGTTTCTTTTCTATCCACCCATGTCAGTTAAGGTATTTGTTTCTTGACTAATAAACCCTTTGATACTTTTAGCCAGAAATCAGTCTCATAAAGCTATTTTTGAGTATAGTTTGTGTAAAACAAAAATGTTTAGCTTTGGGGGCGCCTGGGTGGCTTAGTCGGTTAAGTGTCCGACTTTCGCTTAGGTCATGATCTCGCGGTTCATCGGTTCGAGCCCCGCATCGGGCTCTGTGCTGACTGCCAGCTCAGAGCCTGGAGCCTGTTTCAGAGTCTGTGACTCCCTCTCTCTCTGACCCTCCCCTGCTCACGCTGTCTCTCTCTCTCTCTCTCTCCTAGAAATAAATAAAACATTTAAAAAAAAATGTTTAGCTTTGGTAATAACTTTTCCAAGCTGAACTCCCTCTAGCAAGATATTTTTCAGTGCTTTTATTTACTATGCACTTAGACTATGCACTTTTTTCTGAAATATTTTTGTAACACTTAACTTTTTTGTATTTTTGCCACTTGAAAAGGTTGTGGTGTAGTTGGTCTGTAATTAAGTTGCAGATTTAAAACTGCTGTTAGCTTTGTAAATCAAAATATAGGTGTTCTTGTCCTGGTATATCTTCATTCCATCTGCAGCTGGAGCTGGAATCCCATTGATCTTCTAGCTACCATTCATTTTCTTCACAGTTCACAAAAGAAGAATGTGAAATTCAGTGAATGCTGTTACTAATCCTGTCGGGAGATGAATCTCATTTCACCAAAATTAAATTATGTTTTTACACTAAAATGATGATACAAGTTGATGACACATCACTCTGAAATTGGAAGACCTCACCACTTAAGGCTCCGCAGTGGCTTAATCAGCTGAACTCTAGGTTACTACTCTACTTGGTTCACCCGTCGGTGGGTGCAGTTTTTTTTTAATGTTGGGAGATGGCCATTCTAACTACTGTTGAATGTCTCTGTTTTGGGAAGGTATAACAAGAAAATAAAAAAATATATATGAAGGGAGAGACTGCTTATCTCCTCCCTAAAAAAAAAAAAAAAAAAAACTTTTTTAAAGAAATAAAGAAATATTTGTTGAGTGAATGAATGATGAATGAATGAATCAAGAGTAGTCCAGGCAAAGGGAACAGCATGTGCGAAGATCCAGGGATGAAAATGTGTGTGGTTTATTCAAGGAACCTAAAGAAGTCCTTAGGAGAAAGATTAAAAGCGGATAATGTCTCCAACTGAGTCAGGCAAGGCAGACGGTAACCCGAGGGTGAAGGACACTGGAGTCCAGAATAAGGATATGGAATTTTAGAGCAAGGGATATTCACACCAAGGGCGGGGTGTGATCATAGTTTGGCGTCATCATCGTTGGCAGTTGTATAGGAAATGGATCGGTGTGGGGGTGGGGTGGGAGCGGGGGTGAGGGTTGAGGACTGGAGGCAGAGACACCAATTTAAGAGGCTGTTGGAATGCGGTGGCAAGAGGTGACTGCCTCAGACCAATTTGGGCGGTGACAGTGGATCTGGAGAGAGAGAGAGAAGTGGAGAGGTCTTTTATTTGGGAAGTAGACTCAGAAAGCTCTGATGACGAGCCAGAGGGAGGAGGGGTTTTGATGAGAGGACTGTGGTCATCTGTGCTGACCACTGCCAGGAGGCCAAGGTCACAAGGACTGCAAAGTGTCTATTAGTGACAGGCAAAGAGCATCTCCGTGAAAAGCAGGTGGTCACAAGTCCACTCGAAGCACAAGTGACAAGTGGGGAGTCTGAGGAAGAGGAGGTCCACAAAGCACCTGACACCTAGGAAGCTCTCAGTACTTACCTCCCTCCTTCCTCCTTTTCCCGTACTTTTTTAAGTAAGCTCTACACCCAACGTGGGGCTCGAACTCACGACCCCAAGATCAAGAGTCGCACACTCTACCGATGGAGCCAGCCGGGCGCCCTCTCCCTTCCCTGCATTAATGATGTTGCATATCTGCAACAGTATTGCTGATTAAAGTCTAGGTAAAGAAAAAATGTTCAATGAAAATAATCCCGTGTCGCCAAATATTTACTGTTCCTTTGGTATTGAGTTTCTTAAGGTAAAATATTAAATTCAAATATTAATGAGGAAAACAGCTGGTGCTGAATATTCAGGCCCCCAGAGGAACACATTAATGAATCATTTTTAAAGCTGGACAGCTTCACCCTTGATCGGTTCAAGGAATAGGAACACAGTCATTTCTCAATTATTGTTTTATAAAATGAATATAAATTTCCGATTAGTCTGTTCCTGAAATGGAAACAGCCCTTTCGCATTAGAATAATGAATGTTTGTTATAGGAAATTCAGGCATTAACCTAGCATATAAAGAAGAAAGGAGATACAGGGTTTCAATTTTGCAAGATGAAAAACGTTCTGTGGATGGTCAGTGCTGATAGTTGCACAGCAATATGAATGTACCTCATGCCAATCTACATACACTTAATAGTTAAAATGGAAAATTGTATGTTATATATATTTTACTATTTAAAAAGTAAATCACTTTTTAAAAAAATTGTTGGGGCGCCTGGGTGGCTTAGTCGGTTAAGCGTCCGACATTCACTTAGGTCATGATTTCTCGGTTCGTGGGTTTGAGCCCCGCGTTGGGCTCTGTGCTGACTGCCAGCTCAGAGCCTGGAGCCTGTTTCAGAGTCTGTGTCTCCCTCTCTCTCTGACCCTTCCCTGCTCACGCTGTCTCTCTCTCTCTTTCCTAAAAATAAATAAAACATTAAAAATAATAATAAAAAAATAAAAAATTGTTAAAATGGCAAATTGTAAGTTACGTATATTTTACAATTTAAAAAATAAACCATTTTTTTTAAAGAAGGGGATGGTTGGGGCATCTGGGTGGCTCAGTCGGTTAAGCATCCCACTTCGGCTCAGGTCATGATCTCGCAGTCCGTGAGCTCGAGCCCCATGTGGGGCATCGTGCTGACAGCTCAGAGCCTGGAGCCTGTTTCAGACTCTCCGTCTCCCTCTCTCTCTGCCCCTACCCCGCTCATCCTCTGTCTCTCTCTCTCACTCTTAAAAATAAATAAACATTAAAAAAAGAAGAAGCAGACGGTTGGAGGGGGCGATGGATGAGATAGGTGATAGAGACTGAGGAGGGCACTTGTTGTGATGAGCACAGGGTGATGTATGGAAGTGTAGAATCACTATATTGTACACCCAAAACTAATATAACACTGTATGTTAACTAACTGAAATGAAAATAAAAACTTAAAAAAATAAGAATGGGAAGATCACCCCCTAATCCCACTGTGTAAGTTAGCATAGAGAACTCATTACTCATTCATTCAACAGATATTTATTGAATGCCTGCTATACACCAAGCATATGTCTAGGTGCTGAGAATATATTAATGGGCCCACAACATCCTCCCCTCATGGAGCTTCCTTCTAATGGGGGAGAAAGAAAACAAACAGGGGAATATGTATTGTGTCAGATGGTGACATGTGCATGATACAGAGGAAAATAAGGCAAAGACAGGAGAAGCGGAGTGATAAAGAGGTTGTAATTTTATACAAGAAACGCCTCGTTGATTAGGTGCCGTTTGAGCAAGGATCTGAAAGAAGAGCGTTCCAGGCAGCAGGGATCGCCAAGGCCAAGGTCCCAAGGCAGAAGTAGGTTTGGCATCTTCAGAGAACAACCAAAAAAAAAGCCAGGGCGGCTGGACTAGAGTCCATTAGGGAAGAGGAGTAAGAAAGGAAGTCAGAGGGGCACCTGGGTGGCTTAGTCGGTTAAACGTCCGACTTTCGCTTAGGTCATGTTCTCGCGGTTCGTGGGTTCGAGCCCCGCATCGGGCTCTGTGCTGACTGCCAGCTCAGAGCCTGGAGCCTGTTTCAGTCTGTGACTTCCTCTCTCTCTGACCCTCCCCTGCTCATGCTGTCTCTCTCTCTCCTAGAAATAAATAAAACATTAAAAAATTTAAAAAAAAAAAAAAGAAAGGAAGGAAGTCAGAGAGGTATGGAGGAGCACAGATCACGTGGGTCTCAGAAGATCACTAAAGGGCTTTGACGTTTACTCTGAGGGAGGATGGAAAGCCCTTAAGAGTTTGAGCAGAGGAGGGACCTGATACTACTTCAGTTTAAAAAAAAAATCACTCTGGC